CAAGTTTTCACACATCTGACTTATTACTGTGACACAAATCCAAGAGCTCTCCCCTATGAAGGTGCTTTGGGTGACATTCATGTTGTGACTGCCAAATAAAGTCCAGAGGTTTCAGAATCATTTGTCAACACCAAAGACAACCTTACTAAGAACTAGTCCTTTTATCTCGGAAGTCACTCCTCTGATCCATGGGTTTATTACCTAGAACAACAATTAATCTTGCTGTCTTCACATTATAAACTAGGCCTAGCCAAGATATGGTGTGCCCATGATCCACATCCCTCACTGGGGCATCCCCGCTGGGAGGTAGAACTGGTTTGCTGATTCCACATCAAGGGACCTGGTCCCCGTCCAGGCTATGTAGCCGACTTATCCTCAGTTCCACGGTCAGCAGGGTCCTTCCCTCTCCGGGCTCGGGCTGCCTCACTACAAAATAATGAGATTTCACCAGATGATCTGTAACATCCTTCCCCCTACAAAAATTCCACGATTATAAGAATCTCTAGTTCCTCAACAGGTAATAAGAAAAAGGAGCTTTGCTGTTAAAATGTTACATTTTCTATTCCATACGTTTCAATGTGAATATGAATATCTGATTGGGTGAGTTTCGTGTATATGTGCACATACATGTATATACATGTGTGTGTATATATACATATTTGTATGAGTGCACATACATACTGACTGATACCATTAGGTATTTATATGGGACTAATTGCTCCCAACTCAAAGCAGCAAATTTTCAATTCTGCAACAGATGTCGCTATGTGATTTCTCCTTTCTATGCTGGATTTTCAGTTAAAAATGCCCAGCGTAATGGTCAGTACTATTCTTTCCAAGAAAGAGATACAGCATTTGAATCCTTAGGATTTATTTCTTATAAAGTTTCTTCATATGCTGGTAAATTTCCATTCAAATCATAGCATAGATTAGTTTGGCCCAATTTAAGAGATCTCCCACATAAAAATAGGCCTTTTGTTAAGCACACAAGCATGCGCGTGCGCGCGCACACACACACACACCCATTTTTTAAATGTAAATTCTAAGTGGCCGATTAGGCATTAAAATGTCACATACAAAAACCCAGAGAATGAGACAGTTTCTATTCACAGAAATACTATCAATTTTTTAAAGCCTGAAAATCATTCAGCAATGCAGGCCAAGGAATTATAAAAATTCACTTATGTATGAGGCCAAAATGTACCAGGTGTGGGCAAAAGTCATGAAAAACTCCAAGAGCACCATTAATGATAATGAAAAGTCTGGATTTCAGGTGTTACAGCATTTCCTTAAAAATAAATAGTAAGACGAGTATTATCGTTTGCAAGACAGCTTACCGATCTGACATTCTCTACCAACCACTTCTCAACACACGTCAAAAAAAAAGCAACAGCTCTTTCCCTTCAACCAGGATGTCCTCCAATGACCATCAGTCTCAACAGGTAGCTAGCACAGTCTTCTGCTGAAATTCAGAGCTATGGGAAAGCATTTCAAAATCTCTCTTTTAGACCCAGGAACCTGTTACCTTCTGGGCTTTGAGAGGGAGCGGAGCGAGATGAGCAGTCGGGGAGTCCAGGACCGACTCGGTGAGAGTATGAAGTCAGGAAGTGGGAGAGGAAGCCAAAGTGTCCTGCTTGTTGGCTCCTTCCCTGTCCCACTCTCCTTTACCAGGAGGGCCATTGGGGAAAACTGGATAAAGCATGTACAACATCCATATGAATAAAGCTCTTTGTTCCAGAGAACTGCCTGCTCTTTTATTCCCCCCTTTTTCCGTATTTGTTCATTTCAAAAGATTGCTCAATGGGCCTCTTGTTCCTCCAAAATGTCCCAGGCAAATAATGCAAGCTTGTCTCGTCACACAAGTCACTAAATGAAGCCTTGTGCGTCTCCAGTGACACACTGTAAATATAAAGTGGCATTAATGAGGGATATTTTATCAAAGCTATCACAGACAAGTGCAAGTCCCTCCTGCGGCTATTCAATTTGATGCAGGGAAAGGAAACAATAGCAGGCCAGCACTTTTTGCAAAGTCCCTATCCCCGGTATACAAGCCCCAACAGGCCAAGACAAGCCAAACTCAGCCCCTGGGCTTCCCGGCACCATCACAAACCCCCACCCATCAGCCAAACTCTCTAATGCTAAAAAAGAGGAGGGCAATCAACCACAGGTTCCCGGCGGGCAGGAGAAGCAACACCATGCATGCACCTAACACGTAACAGGCGTGATTTACACTGAGGAGTGAGTTCCCACAACCCCATTTCAGCTGCGTTTCATTAACATCCATTTAATCCACAGCACAGGAGGGATGGGAGATCTTCTCCAGGGGATGGTTAGATTCAGCGACAGGGGAAGACGGAATCAGGACCTCCAGGATGATGGCCCCAGATCGCTATCCCAGCCAGCAGGGAAATGAAACATGCCTAATGAAGTTAGAAGGCAACACCAACAGGTTTCTCTAACCTGACAGTGGCACCTGGAGGCCTCTGGAGAAAGCTTAACGGGAGAGGACGAAGGAAGCAAAGTCCCCCAGTGCCTGCCTGGAAGTCTCCTCTGGGTGCCCAGGATCTGGGGGCTAGGCCAAGATCCCTTCCCCAAGCCATCACCAAAAAATGCCTAAGAGAAAAATAGATTTGAAGAAAGTCATTTCACCCCCTCACTACAAATCAAACCCAATTACTTTCTAATTTGAACACAATCTGATAACCAGCGTACAAACAGGGATGTACACAAGAGCAAGAAGCTGCTTCCATGGTAACTGGCAACAGAATTTTCTTGCAGCTTTGACATGCACGGTTGAGTTCCAGACCGCTCCTTTCGGAGTCCACATACATCCCTCGCTGGGAAGGCAACTTCTCACTGCCAGATAGTTAAAAATAATAGTACTGTTGCTACTACCCGGTGCCGTCAATGAGCAGGCTCGACAGAGGAGGTATCAGCTAATCCTACTCTGCTGCCCAGCGGCATTGCAACAGCTCCCATTTTCAGTCAAAAGGCAATATCCCCGACCAGCGCTGTCCGCCCCCCCCTTTTTTTTTGCAGCCAATACAAGTCTATTGTTGCCTCTATTATGCGCCAGTTACCGAGCCTTTACTCACGCTCACGTTTAACCGACACTGGCGCTTTTTACAATGCAGCAGCATGAGGGATCTCTTTCAGGAACATTTTATTGAACCCATCCAGTCAGAGACATCACCTGAAATGAAGTTGTAACCACACCGGCATAAGCTGAACCCAATTATCTCGTAACTCATAAATTAAGAATTCACAGAGGAAAAACACATAAACAACATCCGGAGACAAGCAGTGGCATGGAAGAAAAAAATCCTCAGCTCTGGAACTGAGCTGCTGCCAGATTCCCACCCCTGTACATCCCTGATACATTCCCCAAGCCGAGCTCCCTTGCAAGCCTGCTTGCGGGTGGGGCGGGGGGAGCAGAAACCGACCCGGCATCCCCCAAATCCAAAGCTAGCACCCCCGACATCCCCCTTTCCTACAGCGTGTCTCCTGCGGTGTTTACGTAACTGTGTGTCCTCTAGCGTGTAAACAAAAGGCACAGCCCGAGCGGAGAGGAGCCCGGTAAAGGCACGGTGGCCCCAGTGCTGCGCCCGCCGCGGCCGGGGGCTCCGCAGGTGGGGGCTGAGCTCTCGGTGTCCTCCGCCACTTGTTGCTCGCGGGTCCTGCAGCTCCCAAGCTGCAAGGAGGGGCTCTGCAGGCGCCGAGCCCTGCTGCATCCCCTCCTGCACCTCCCGCCGCGCCCCCACCCCGCGGGCCCGGTGCCTCCGGGTCCCGCTCCCCGCCCGGAGCCGGCAGCGGGCGGCCGGGGGGTGCGGGGCCGCCGCGGAGCGCGGCAGTGGCGGGAAGGGGAGGCAGGGTGCAGTACGACCAGCCTCTCCGCTGGGGAAGAGCTCCGGCTCCCTTTTGTTAGCAAAAGCAAACACTGCCCTCTTCTTTCCCGACCGCGCCAACGCGCCCGGCACACGGGCAGCCACACATCGTGCTCCTGCCGAGTGCTCGGCGTCTTCGGGGAAGGCGCCCGGCGTGCAGAGCCGCCCCTGGGCAAATTCCCAAGACAGCTCCGCACACAGGAGGCGCCCGGAGGCCCGCAGGGTGCCCGCGGGGCCGCAGAGGCCGCGAAGCTCCCTCCACCACCCTCGGGCTGCCGAAAAGGACCAGCAGCCTGTAAATCCGGCGTCCCCACTCGCGGCGGAGGACGCCGTGGGGCAAGAGGGCTGCGGGCTCCCGTTTCCTTCCCGCAGAGGCGGCGACAGCAAACCCCCCCCCCCACTCCCGGGGCCCGGCCTGAGGAACTTTCCCTGCCTGGAGCCGAGCCCGGGAACCCCGCAGCCGAGCGACGCGGGGGGGGGGGGGTGCGGAGGGCGGCGATCGGGCTGGAGGGAGACACAAGGGGCGCGCGGTTCGGAGGCCGGGGGGGAGAAAGGCAGAGCGAGGGGAGCGCAGGAACAGCGACCAGACAAGTCTGGGGATGTCCTGTGGATCGGTGAGCAATCACGCTGGAGGCGGCTGCTAGTCAGCCATGGGGAGGCTTGGGGGATAGAGATTTAGGGGGCCCGTTGGAGAGGTGGGGGCGAATGAGCAGCCCTGGGACGGGAGGACCTGCAACTTACCGGGACAACAACGAGTTTGGGAGGGTCCCGAAGGTTGGGGGGTGCCTTCCATCCATCCCCTTTTCCCATATTCTCGAGCCCCCGGGCCCCCCATTCTCACTCCACTCCGCACCCCGCGCCAAGCCGGGGAGAAAAGGTGTGGGTGCAGTCATCCCTAAGGGCTCCAATTCCCACCCAGATGGGCAAGGGAGAAGGGGATCACCGATCCCCTCTGCCCCTTCCATCTCAGCCCTGAGTTTCCTCTCCACACTCCCTCCGATTCGGATTTAGGAAGTGGGGGAAGGTTGTCATGGAAACGTTTCCCCCTTCCACGGCTATGGCTACTGGGGTGCCTTAGGAGATTTAGAGGGCCAACCGGCTGGTGCCCACACCTACCTGTGGGGATCAGTGCCGCGGCGGAGAGGAGCAACAGCAGAAGCCGGAGTCGGAGCCCGGGAGGCGCCGCCGCCGCCGCCACCGCCGCCACCGCCGCCGCACACTGGGATCCGCTCGGCAGCACAGCACTCGCCATGTCGGGCACCTGCCTCAGACTGGCGGCGGTGGCTTCCTCGGGAGCCCGAGCGGCCAACTAATGAGATGCTAATGACATGCACTGGGGGCGGAGTCCTGACCGACCAATCACAGCGCCGCTAGCCGAACCCGGCTCTCGGAGGACTCGCCCCCTCCCCCACCCCGCCCCCTGGCGCTGGCGTTCGGCGGCGCGCCCGCGCCACCTAGGGGCGGGGCCAATGGGAGGGGCGTATGCAAATATGTTTATGTTAAAATTCGTTTTCGCTTCCCCGGGATCAAGGAAAAAGTGTTCTCCTGGGCACCTGGCTTGTGGGGGCTCGGGCTCCAGGGGGCGGGTCTCGCTTCCCGTACACCTATATTAAGAATGTATATAGCAATCGCATAGCCGACCGACGACTGGAGAATCTCCCTAGGAGGAGGCTCCCCTGCCCGGTACACCGAGTGCATCTGGCCTGGAAACCACACGTTGCAAATTTCCGTTACTCACCTTGCACCGAAGGAATAGATCTTCGGGAAACGGGGGCTGTTAGGGAGTGGAGAGTGAGAATGCAGGTCCCCGGATTGACAAAACAATCTGGGAGAAGTGCATGCGTGCTTTGCACGTCCGGCGGAGCGGGTGAGCCCGCTCAACAACCTAGCGGTAGACTTGGGCATAGTTGGGAGAAAGGAGCCCAAGTCGGGCTCTGGGATTTTCGAGTCGGTATCTTTGCGGTCGATTTTCCGGAAAGGTAGATAGGGGAGCGTCGGCTCCAGCTCCCCAGCTCGCCGAAGGTCTCCTTCCTGCCTTTTATATATATGCGCATTTAATACATTTGACGTATGTAATAATATATATTTACGATTACACACATCCAACAAAAAATCTTTTCTGTCAAGGCTTCGGGGTGGTGGGCGGAGGCGGGGGGGTGTGTGTGAAGATAGGGTCTGCCATCTTCCTCCTTTGGGGTTCAAACCCATTCCCTCCTTCTCTACGCCCCCAGCCCCTCCTAAGGCGGCTGGGGACCAACAGGTGCCCTGAGCTTCCCGTGTCTCTGGGAGAGGTTCTCCCGGCTGAAAGGATTTGCTTCTCCGGACTGTTTCTCTCTCTCCGAAATTGCCTCTGCTTTCTTTTCAACCAGGCAGCCGGCTCTCTTGTTTGTATGCTTTTTAATTACTTATTTTCTTCCCCTCTAGAAGATCGTATGCGCTCTGACCCTCTGTTGCTCAAGCATCAAATTGAAGGACGAGCCATATTAAGTGTAAAGGTTTATAATAATTTAAGTATTCATAGAATGCAGAACAATAAGATGTAGGAAATACAATTTGCATAATAAATATCAATATCACAACAGCTAAAACAAACCATGACAAATTATCTGTGGCTAAATGACCAAGAGATTACTGAATGTAAATTGCTAAGTCTGAGCTGTAGTCTAGAGGAACTGCACCAAATGACTTGCCTGGCCTTCTGTCCTCATCTAACTAAAATAATAATAATAAATAAATAAATAAATATTACATATCAAAAAGGAAGTCAAGATCTGCCAACCCACCAAATGAGTTACACTTAAAAACAGCCTCCTATTATCCATTATGCATAAACTAATTTCAAGACTGACCTGTCTTCACAGCCCTGGATATTCTGCTCTGTAATTACAAGCCCTGATGCATGAACTACAGGCAGTCCTCCAGAAGTCAGGAAAGTTCCAGCGGACCCACAGTGCTACATGAGACAGGAAACCATCACCACGTGGTGACCAGAAAAATGTGCAATCTGCAAAGTCCTACCTAGTCTTATCACCTCTGGAAGTACAGCTACCTGGACAGACCAAAGGCAGAGTGGAGAGTCCGCCAAAATCAGGATAAAAAATTTGAGGTTATATGCATGTTGAAAGTGATGTGTAGGGATGCCTGGGTGGCTCAGCTGGTTAAGTGTCTGCCTTCAGCTCAGGTCATGATCCCAGGGTCCTGGGGTCGAGTCCCTCATCAAGCTCCTTGCTCAGTGGGGAGCCTGCTTCTCCCTCTGCCCCTTCCACCTGCTTATGCTCTTTCTCTCTCTCTGACAAATAAATAAATAAAATCTTTTTTAAAAAATGATGATGTGTAAACAATAAAGTAAGGTCCTATATGCCAGGAACTCAAGCACCCTAGCTCAGTGTAGTATTTATATTTGCTATTATTATTACTAGTCTTGCAATTATTGAGTTTTTATTAGGTATTTTGCATACATAATCTCATTTAATACTTGGAACAATCCCCGTGGCACATACTATTATTTCCCATTTTATGTTTTTTAAACATAGTTAGAAAAATTAAGCAATTGCCCAGAGGTCAAAGTTTCTAAGGTGCAGACAGGGTTTGTGCAATTAACCACTATGCTATCCTGTGCCTCAATAAATATTTGTTAAGTGAATGAATAAACATCACATTATAATGCATGAATAATAAGCATAGGATAGCTCCATTTTTAACATAAGGCAAAAATATGCCAGCAACTGAGAAACATTTTTTTAAATAACAGGATTGCATTATACTCCTAAGGAAAAGCATTCCTTATGAGGCTGAATCTCTAAGAGAACCTAGTTAGGCCCCAAGCCTCCCACACTAGGAACACAGTATGGGGACATTGGAAGATGTGGAGTGTTTTCATCTCCCTTCTTTCTCTTGGCACATCAAATGAACACCTACTCAAATTTCCAATTGGCAAAGAACAATATGGGACATTTTTGTAGGAAATGCTAATGCTGTGTGACTTACCTCACCAGAGGAATGCAAATAGCTTTAGAAATTCTACCCAAAAACTGCCACCTGTGTCGTAAGCTTCAGGAAACTGCACATCCAACTTCCCCAGTCATGGGACATCTTTAGCCCTGGTCTGCATGGAAAGACCCTGAGCTGAAAATTTAGGATTAAGCTGTTGCTACCCTCTACACTAGCCACGCTCCTTTCTGCGCCGCCCACCCCCCATCTCTTTCACACTGAAGATCTCGCCAAGCGATTTAACATATGGAACATGTGAAGAACGTATCAAATTCCCACAGCCGCTAAGTACAAGTTATGACTACTCTGGTTTTCTCATAGTAAAGCTCGTCATTTTCTGCTTCGTGGACCAGAACTCCTCACCAATGACAAGTTCCAACATTTTTCCCCTTGCTACATGGATTTAACCAATTTTGAAAGCCAGATGGTGTTTTTGCCATTTATAACTGATAATCAATTGTTTTGTGAATTTAATTTTTCAAGAAAGAACCGAAATACTTATCAGAATTACAATCTGGGGACTTCTTGTGTTAAAATAAAATTGCCAGAGCCTAGTCCTTTTCTTTTTCTTCTGGGGAAACTTTAAAGAGCGAGAGGGAGAGAGACCCTATATTGTTTGCCTTCACTCAAACAGTTGAGAAATATGGAAAAACATATAGGAAAAATAAACATTAAGGAGAGATTCATGTTTTGCCAAATACATTAAGAGACAATCAATGAGAACTAGTAACATTTTGCTTTTCAATATACTAATTATTTGAGTATCCATGTATAAAAAGCAATAAAGACAAATTATTAGGGAAAATAAAACAATGTTTAAAGTCAGCATTTGCTCTGCTACTGGATTCTTTGAGTACCCATAGGAAAGTGGTTTAATCAGTTTATGGACTGAATGTTTTTGTGTTCCCCACCACCACTCCCGCCCCTGCCAAATTGATATGCTAAAGCCCTACCCCTTAATGTGATAATATTTGGAGGTAGAGCCTTTAGGAGGTAATGAGGTCTAGAAGAGGTTCGGGGTAGATAGATACCATCCTGATGTCCTCGGAATCAATACCAGAGCTCTCTCTGGTATTGCAGACACTGAGGAAAGGCCATGTGAGCACACAGCAAAAAGGCAGCTACCTGCACGCCAGGAAGGGGGCTCTCACCATAACCTAACAGTCCTGGCACGTTGACCTCAGACTTCCAGCCTCCAGAACCGTGAGAAAATAAATGCCCATTATTCAAGCCGCCCAGTCTCTGGTATTTTGTTATAGCAGCCGGAGCAGACTAAAATAATCCTTAAGCCTCTGCTTCCATTGTCAAAGGGTATATTAAAATGATAATAAATGTCAGCTTTTAATAGAAAGTCTTCCATAAATTAAAGTAAGCTAGCAGTATGTTAGAATATTGGACTGGATAGACTCTTGGTCTACCTAGCAGGTAGCTCCTCTGTACTTAGATTAAGACTAAGCAGCTCATCTTTGGGGGCATCAGTCTATGAATCTTTATGAAATATAAAGCCAGCTAAATCCATACTCCTAAATGAGTAATTAACCACTTTACCCACAGGTTTATTCTTCTGGAATCATAGAGTTGACAGTAAACTTTTGCATATCGAGACTAGAATACCAGTTCAAAGGAAAGGGAAGTGGGGAAGTACCAATACATAAACTACACAGAAACTGAGTCAAGGAGCAGCACCCGTGCAGATGGAAAGGAAATTTGTCTTGGAGACCAGGTCACAGTTTGTCACGATCAGATATCTAAGAATATATTTGGGTATGTGTGGCTGATCCAGATACATATCCTTTTTTTATAAGATCTTATTTTAATTTTTAAATAATCTCTACACCCAATGTGGGGCTCGAAACTACAACCCCAAGATCAAGAGTTGCACGCTCTACCAACTGAGCCAGCTAGTCACCCCCAAATCGAATTCAAGGAAAGAAAAAATGTATAGAGCACCCCAATGGGACGGTCATTGTTAAGTCCTGGGAACACAAAGATGAATGAAGAACTACCTACTGGAGCAGGCAACTCATTCAGTTAAGCGTCCAACTCTTGATTTCAGCTCAGGTCATGATCTCAGGATCCTGGGATTGAGCCCTGCATCAGCTTCCATGCTCAGTGCAGAGTCTGCTTGGGATTCTCCCCCTCACTCTCCCTCTGGCCCTCCCCCTGCTCATACACATGCTTTTCTCTCTTTCTCTAATAAAAAAAAAAAAAAAAAAAAACCAGAAACTACCTACTGGCAAGGAACTCAGAGTATAGTAGGGAAGACAG